GACAGTCGACAACATGACGGCAAAAAGTGTTCGGAGCGGGCTGAAGTTAAACAAAGCCGGGCAAATAAAGCAAAGGCGAAATCTATGTTAAAACACAAGCGATTAGAATCGTTTTGGTCGACTAAAACACACCTAATTGCCGGACAAGTCGCTGGGGGACGGCTAATTGAAACGCCGCCCGCTTGTGTTTTTTCCAGATTCAGCTACTTTTTTTATTTCAAGGTCCACTTTGAGTAATTTCAGTGTGTGCGGTGTAAACTGTTTTTAGCAGATTGCTTGATTTTTTCATTATTTTCGCTTTTTTTCTGCGGCTGCACTGAATAATTTCAATTTTATTTACCTGTCTTGGGAGCGGCCACGGCCAGACACGTTTTGCTTTTGGGCCCAAACACAGAACACCGAACACAGAGCACCGACAAGCTGAAAGCGAAATAGAAAAAATGCATTTGCTGAGCATGCAAACCGCGAATCGAGCGGACAATAAATACGGGCGACCGCCCATTTTTATGGCAATCAAATGCGTTGTTTAATTCGAATTGACTTTTTGAACTGGCTGGGAAACTGGGAAACGTGTCGCACGTGCCCACCGCCCCCTTGATATTTTACTCGATTATTGGTGTAGGGATTGTCAACTGTCATTTCGATTATTGGGATCGCAGGCCACAAAAGAGTGGAATTACTTGGAGATAACACGTCACAGAGGACTGACACACAATTTTGTTAGTGCACACTTGAATTACCGGTTATCGTTATTTAATGATTGATCGACTGGCACAGATATGGATTTCTGATAACGGGCAGAGCCCATTAGGTGAGTGGACTTTTTTTAAAGAACTTTGATGGAAGAAATATTGTTTAATATTGTATATATTTAAAAGTTTTTTAAATTTAAATACAACTTAAACCTCAAAAACGAATCTTAAATTTATGAATTCAGAAGAAAATTTGTTAACTAAAGAAGTTCAATTTTTGTGTACCTAACTATAATACCTATAAAATCCTCCAACTCAGCAGGACAACAGAAACTTTTAAAGTACTTTCCGATCAAACTTGCGAATAAAGCCTCTTGCTCAAGTTTTCAGTGTAGGCTGCCTGGCAATTGATAGTTATACCATAAACTTGCTTTTAGAACTATTGCACAATACCCGAAAAACAAAAGCCAGCCATTCCCCCGAAAAGAAATAAATGCAATCAGCGGAAGTTTCCCTCTCCTTTCCTCTTGGTCAAAACAAGTTGCAGTTTGGCTTGGCTTGAATTGGATTGCGGTGGGCGGTGAGTGGTGGGCGGTGGGTGGTGAATGGTAGGCGCAGGGCGGGGGCGTGGCATTGGGTCGGGTGCCAAACTTTGTGGCATAAACTTTTAATGAGTTCTTTTTATTTGCGATTTGCATGGCCACGCCCCCCATTTGTCACACAAATGAAATCTGCCAGAGCGAAATTGCATTAAGTTGCCGCTTGTAGGGCATTCATATCCACCACCCACTGCCCACCGCCCAATCTCAATGACATTGCCTACTTGGAGGAGCCAAACTTTGGTCAAAGAGTCCAACCCAACTCCTCCTTCGCTTTGGACTCAATGATGAGCAGAAAACAAAAATTGCGAAATAAAATAAATAAATATGCCCGAGTGCGAAACTTTTAAATTGAAAATGCGCTTTGAATATTTCAGCGCTTTGGATCCTCCGGATCCGGATCCTTCCGCCATCTTGTGCGCCATTGCACTCGCTAACTGCACTTGTGCTCATCTTTGTCTCCGTCCCCAGCTTTCAGACCCTGTCCCGCCCACTTCCATCTGTCGACGTCTGCGAAAGGCGAAAATAATTTGAAATTTTAATTAAAAGTATTTGGGCAAAAGTTGCTGCGCAGCCAGCGGCTCTGCTTTTCTATCACCAGACAAATACGACAAAATCAAAAACACAAAAAACGAATAAGCGAAATCACGAGCGGAATTGGCAAGACTTGGAGGCAACTATTTCCGGGCCTGCTTTCAGCCGGGTTCGCTCGATGGCATTTCAGCTTAAATTTTAATATTGCCGCCGAAGGCAAAAATTGTGCACTTCACTTCAACATGCAGCTGAGATTTGCAGGGAGCGACGAGGATGAAAGTTGCAATTGTTGCCGATGCGACAAGTGTCCCTCTTACAAGAGCTTCAATGCTCATTTTATCCCTGGAATCGGTCATGCGTTAGGGAATAACACGAAGTTAAATTAATATATTAATCATATAAAAGAAAAAAAGTTTATTTTCTTTAATTTATAAAACAAGTTAAATTTTTATTTGGTTTTTTTTTTCTATATATAGAAGGTATACCTTTTGCAAGCCTAGATTTTAATATTTTCCATTTATATAGCTAAAATTAATTTCTGATTTTTCAGATTCGCCATTTTAATAAATTTCCTTACCCTTAGGGCCGTTTTCTCGTCCATTTGTTAAATTTAAAGTAGGGTTAAAGCCTTGAAATCGCATGGGAAATCATTGTTTTAACCCTACCTTAAACTTAACAGACGGCTCCTAGAGTTTTTTAAACTATTATATTGTACACTAAATTTGGGATTAAAAGCCACTATCAATAAAAAATTCATAATTAATATGGTAAGCTTATTTTCAAATTTGAATTTTATCACATTTTCTTGTTGTAAACACATTGATGGGGGCTATTTTCCTGTATGACGAAATCTTTTTATTTATCACTATTGAATATATCTTTTACAAGAGTTGAATTTAAAGTTCTGCGCATTGAACATTATTTTTTTAGTAGCTCTTTAGTTTACGAACTGTGTTGGCGCATAAACGTTCCCTATCTCGATATGCGTGTGGCTGCGTATGTGTGATATACAAATAAAAATAAAAGAAAAACTATTTGCCATTCTTGGACTCTACTACTTTCTTCTTGCCATAATTAAACCTTAGTAGCTGGCTGGGCAAAAAGGCAAAGAAGCCTCAGGAAGAGTCTTCCGTGGCTTTCAATGTATTTTTCCCTTCCGGACGACTCTTCGTGTTCAGCAAGAGGAGGACAGAAAGAAAGAAACTTTATTAATAAAAGTTTTTCCTTTGGTATTTTAGCCAAGTATTATTAAAAACTTTCATATACGCAACGCTGGCAGTTCCACACACCGCACACGGACATACTGACACACGTGTGCCCCAACATATGTCGACGTCTGTCGGAACATTCAAGCGTTAAATTGTGGAGGCCCTTTTTATGCATGCGACAATATTTGCTGCTTGTGCTTTTGATTTTTGCTGCTTCTTGCTCATGCTTTGCCTTTATTAATTTCGTTGTCATGACATTGAGTTTGGCAAGTTTCGGTCGTGGGTGTCGAATCAGCAGCTAATTTGCCGTTGTTTTGAAGTCTTCACACGTCAATATTGTTGACGAAAAAAACTGAATTGAAAGGCAGACAAATGTTCTACCAAATAATAAGTTTAAAACGTGTAGGTGCTGTCAGTTATCTCATTTTTCTTAGCAAGAAAAATTCCAATCTGATTGTGAACAAATATTCTTAAACTTGAATTTGATTTTTAAGAATTACAGTTAAACAAAGGAATTTATTTTGTTGTCAAGTGCTTATATTTCATATTACTTTAATAAATTTACTAAGCAGTCAATTAAATTTTAATTATAATTTGAAATTTAAATCGTTTAATAAAAAAGGTATTTCCAGAAAGCTTTTTAAATAATTTTTCTTTTTGACTGAACCTCAATTAAATAAATTAGATAATTTAATCGAGTATTTGATTCCATTTCGCCACGATGAGTTTTAAAAGTAATTTTATTCTCAATATAGATCCTTACGAAATTGAAATCAATTCTAAGGCCATTTAAATGAAAAATAAAAAAATATTGTTTTTTATTGTTTTTATATTCCATTAAATTAAATGGTTAGTCTGATCCAGCCGCATAGTCTAGCTCTTTCAAGTTGATGGTTGCAAAGGCAAAGTGAATAGTTCGGTCGGCTCTTCGCCAGACTGGTCCCCTTCCCATCGCCCCTATTCCTGACTTCAGGGGAAGTCCCTCCGGGGCTGCTGTATCTGTTTCTACTCGCTGTTGTCGGATTCCAACTCTCAAACTATTTGCACATTGAGTGCATGCATATTAGCATTGGAAAGAGAATATCTAATGAAGTGCGTCCCGTCCATTAACCGGGGAACGCATTTTCTCTTAGTTTAGTTTCCATTAGAGCGCAGTCTGGCTTTGGCTTTGGCTGGAGCCACACCGATTCCACTTGTTTTTTTACGGCTCTCACTTAGCTAGACAAACTAAACAACTAATTAAAGTAAACCGAAGGCATTTAGCCAGAAAATTCGTTGACCAGATGGGCGGAAGCAATAGTTAAGCGCACACAAGTGCAGAATCGCATGAATATGCAAATATGAGCCTGTCATCCATTCTGCTCATTTCCATTCCCGTTGTACCCGTACGCTTTCCAATTTCCTCCAATTGGGTGCGTTGTTCATTAATTTGCTGCTGACTTGGGAAAAGCTGGATGCCGGGATGTCATCACAGCTGCTTGGTTGACATCGATACGGCGACGGTTGACTTTGTTGGCTCTTAATTGATTGCAGCCATTTAGGCATCGCTCCCCTCAATCCCAGAGCCATCGTCATCCTCGTTCTCATCCCCATTCCCATCCGCATTCCCCGTCCTCATCCTCATCCTCATCCTGGTGGTGTGAATCTTTGCACTTGTCTTTGAATTAATTAAAGAGCGTGTTTTGAAGTCAGGCTGTTGGCAAGCAGTTGACACCAGACGAAAGTTATGGAAATTGCCTAACGAATCAAGAATTTACAGAACTATTTGCCAGTGGCACATTTCTATACATTGAGATCATACAAAAAGAGATTGGCTTATTTATAAATAGTCACCAATTATAAAAAAAAAGTGCCAATATACCCAAGCGTGTTGTTCATTTTATTTATATATTTATATCTTTAAAGACGCATACAAATACGTATACGTTAGGTATACATAATATATTGAGTAGAAAAACATTTTATAATTATTATTCGGGTATACATTTATTTCGCAATATTCTTGACAAACAAAGTGGGTATGGATTTTAGGATCAGATTTTGATAGCAATTGAGATTCAAAAATTCTATGGACAGGTGTATAAGTACATACATTTAAAATATATTTTAGAAATTTGGAAATCTATAGGTGTACGTAGTTCCGACATTCCAGGATGGTTGTGAGGTTCCATATCGACCGCCCAAGCGCTGACCGTATTCTCCATTTACACCGATCTCGTGGCGTCCATTGTCGCTGGTCCAAAGTTTCTCGTGCCCCCGAACACGAAAGCCGAGTCCATCGCCTCTCTGGCCCCCACCGCCTCCCTCAAGATTGAGAGGATACTTGGGTGGTGCTGTCGGCTTCATGGTCATATCGTCGGGCATCGGATGGGCCAAAGAAGCTCCGATGAGGAAGAGGAGCAAGCCGCAAAGTAAGGTAGACTGCATCTAGATTGGTCTCGATTGTCGAGCTTCAGACTGCTGACTGATAATTCTACTGCAGGCTTGAAGCTCATTTATAGGAACATTTCACAATGGCAGTGACAAAGGGAATCCCCGATGCAACCTTATCTATTCAGAACAGCATTGTCTCATAATTTAAACTAATAAGCCTTCGCCGGTCATCCAAAGGGAGTCCCCGAAATGAGAAATCCTTATCTGCAGAAGATAATCCATAGGGGATTTTTCTTAATTATTCAATAAACATATATAAATACATATATAAATACACATAATATAGTCCGATTCGCGCTAGTTCTAAAATTATTTCTTTCAAACTGGATTAAAAAATCTCCTTGCCATTTTCATTCCTTATTAAATGGAAACTTTAAGTGGTTGGCAAGGAACGAAAACGGAAAGAGGGAAGCTGCCTACGGTTGCCACACCAATTAAATGGTTATATTTTATTAAAAGCGCGCTACAAAAGACACATTGCCAATGCCATTGCCATGGCAAATAGACGCTGCCGACTTTCGCTCATTTTGCGGTGCAACTGAGCGTATACGCAACGCGGGGGCAAAGTGCCTGGAAGAGCCACAATGGGCAGGTGTCTCGACGCCGTCGGTTGCCATAACGCCCCTGCTGACGTGGCACTACCCGATCCCGAACCCAAACCCAAACCCATTCCCAATCCAAAACCCGATCCCATTCCGGATAGCAGACCGCCGCAGGACGGGCCAGACAAACGCTGTTATTTATTCCGGATTTGTCTACCTTTCCCCTTTTTATTTATGTTTGGCAGACGCCAATTTTCATGGCGGTGGATGCAGCTCAGCTGCGTCTGCAGGACTGAATGTCCGTTGGTCTGCTGGTAGTCGCATCTTCCCGGGGCAGCAAATCTGGCGGATTCCAGCAGCCCCACATCCACGTGACTTTGACTCCACCTCCATCTTCAACCAGGTGGAAAATAAAAGAAACCCAAGTAAGCAACCTACCCTGTCCTGTCTCAACTGTCGTCGGAGTTGCCTGCTCACCTTTGATTGTCTTACAGCGGCATGCTGGTCAGCCAGTAATGAAATCTGCCCTTAAAATGGAAGAGAGGCGGGGATGGGGAGGGGTGCCTTTTAGCCAGCCCTTTGTTTGCCATCTCTGCACAAAACATTTCTGCTGTAAATATTTTAGCTGGAAATGCCTCTGCCACTGCTACTGTGGCTTTTGTTCCTCCGCCTTTGTCTTGGACGGAATTGAAACGTTTCGGATTGTTGCCAGTCAAAGTGCAAGCTGCTGGACTCTGTCTGTCATTTGGCTAAACACTTTAAGCAAACTATTTTCAAGCTGGACTTTTGATTAAAAAACTTTTTGGGCCAGAGCAGAGCAAACAAATTCAATAAGTGGCGCTGCGAAAATCAATAGAAAATCGCCACCAGATGCCAGAATTGCTAATCTAAGCCACAAAACACAGCCGCAGAATGGGGGCTCGAACTCCGGTTGGAATTTGCAGAGGGGCGCAGGGTGGCACATAAATTCAAGATGTGGCCATAAGATTTATGACGATTGCGAACGTGAACGTGGAATTTTCGGAGGAAAGGCCCTTGAATAGACACCAAAGTGGCAAGATAGAAGCGGCGGCAACATTTGCGAGCCTCTGGCCTTTGAGCTTTGGAAGTTCGCTGGAGGAGGGGGATGCCAAGATGGCCGGCAATTTACAGTAGGCATATAAAATACACATAAAAATTGAAACCGCTATTCGGGCAACTCCAGACATGGCGGCTTCAGCCGGCGAATGGGGCGTATACTTTACGCATTTTAAGTTTCAATTTCTCAGTCGAATTTACGGCCGGAGATGCGAGTCCGAGTGCGGACTCTGCGGAAGCGGATGCGCCATGGCTATTTTATGGCCACTTCCGCTGACCAAAGGTCTAAGTGATTTCTGACATAAAAATATTACCCCAAGTCCGTTGGATTGGTGGTGTGGAAATTCCCCGGCCACCAATGAACTTGCTGCAAATCAAATTTTTCACTCGCCTATTTCCGCGTTGCCTAATGAAATCCGGCAAATATTTTTCCGTGCCATTTCCATTGCCAGCAATCAATTGTCAACGTCATCTCACTCCGCTTTGTGGAGCTTCAGGGCCGCCATAATCCGGCTTATTATGCAAAGTAAATGCGCCGGAGTCCGGGACTACGGACTCCATGGCCTTGATAATCTTTTGCGATATTTCATTGTCGTCGCCGAGGCTTGTAAATGCGTTAACAGCCCTCGATTCGTCTTCGCCCCGGCTCGAAATACTTCGGCTTCCGGTTGCCGCTTATGCACTTCCTGTGCTCATTTGTCGCCAGTTTGTAACTCGCGGCCATATCTGGGCAACTCTGAGATTTTACGATGTCTGTCGTATATTTTCGTCACATGCAAATTTCCATATCGCAATTGCTTCTTCTTACAGAAAGAAAAAATTGTGTAATCCGAGAACTTTGCTGATTTTTCTCTTTACACGATAAAGGCTACAAGTTCCTTTCAAGCAAACAAAACCTATGATTAATTTTTCTTTATTCAATAACTCATTGAAATGAATCTAGTTTTAGATAATTTAAACTTGACCAGCGAATATCGCATTAATATTAGACTGCATTTTTTTCTGTGTGTCAATTTCCGTAAGCGGTCTCCATTTCATATCACATCATGTGCTCTCACAATTTGATTGCCCTGACTGAAGTTGCCCCTTTCTGGAATCATTTCCATATTAAATGGTTTTTCTTTGAATTGATGAAGTATCATATTATACGGGGCGCCTTTGCAAATGATAACGACTCAGATTCAACCCCAATTTCGGACACCGTTATATTGGGGTCTCAGCTGGGCGTGATATGGGGTCCCCCATCCGAATGTTTTGTAATTTTACTGCTGCACCATTTCTATTACGAATTCATTTGCGTATTCAAATTGATGTAAGGAAATAAATATGGAAAATGGTTGTTTCCATTTAATTGTAAAAATATCTGTGAACTTTGGTATAAATTAAAGCTAATTTATTTGATGCAGGAAACATTTTTAAAAACCTCTTGGTCTCCGCCAGAAACATCTAATTATACCCAACAACCTTTGCAAATGCAAAGCATGCGAAAATCTGAGATTACAACCCCTTGATGATCCACCTTATAAGCTGTGCATTGCATATTGAACAGCTTCCTCGTGCTTTTCAACGCTTTTCCGCAACCATTTTTCCCATTATGCTTCCCGCAGCTCCCTCAAGTTTTGTCATTTTCGTCATGGCATTGGAATGACTTCATTTTGAGCTCGTCCATGCAAATTCGCAACTGATTTCGGGCCAAATCACATTGTCATATAGATGTGTGTGTGTCGGAGACGAAGAAAATGCAAAAACGATCTAAAACCTCTAAAATTAAGCTATCATAAGGTTTTACAGCCGGCCATCAACACACAGAACAAGGTGGTGGTATCCTCCGCCAGAAAAAAGGCAAAAGTATAAAGAGCCAAAAACGAAATAAGTGCAGTGCAATGTCATTAAAGCGGGCAAGCAGACAATGAGCGGTAGAATGGAACTGAGAGCTTGGAACTGGTAGATGGGAACAGCGAACAGGACGTCCAGGATGACTATGGCCAACATAAAATCACAACACACTGCAGATACGAAAGGCAGTCGAGGTAGTAATGACAACTTGGCCACTTTCTGTAAACCTCTTATTTTCTGTTTACGACTTTTTTTTAAGGTTAAGGTATATCTTTAACAACAGTGTTGTAAAAACAAAAAAATATATATTTTTTAATATTAGATGTAAAAAATAATGACAGTCGTACGCGAGTTAACCGTCCTTTAAAATTAGAATTAAATACAGTAAATATTGTATTTTATTTTATTTAAGTTTCATTCTTATACGTTTATTTTATTTATTCTTCTTATTGTTTTCAATTCTTAGTGCAAATTCAACTAATATCTGTCATTTTCAATTGGCACCACTGATGTTTGGAGAAAAGTCCACCTAGTGCTCACCGCTTATCGGACCACATTGTGTGTCCTGGCTGCCCGGGATGTCCCCGTCCCGCCCACTTTCCAACCTGCTTCCTCCGCCCCTCCTCCACCATCCTTGTGCGTTACGTATACGTAAAGCTGTAATCTGTGCTTATAAAATGGCAAATGGCCGGGCTGCAGAGGGTTTTTAATTGTCTGTGCCGGATGGCCAGTCTTAAATGCTTCAAGGAGGGCACACACATGGAATGGCCAACGACTTTGTCGAGAATTGCTGGCAGGCAAAAAAAGAAATAAGTGGAGGAGCCAAGAGAGGGGGTGCTGCGAAATAATAGGGTTGTGCTTTGGGTTTTTTAATTAAAGCCCTCTCATAACATTATGTTAATGTGTGCGGTTCCCTTTGTCGCCCACGCACCTGGACCACCTGTCGTCAACTCTTTGGCCAACTAATTACTGGCCGAGATTGAAGTGCCAGCTAGAAAGTTATAAAAAGTAATTGGCTGGCAGTCATTCCACTTGATTTCGGCCAACGTACTCCTCCTCCACTCGAATGCAAATTGAGTGTGCTATCAGCAACTGTGGGATGGCTTTCCTCCCAAAATAAAAAGGCTTTTGGCCTGGCCAACATCGCGGCCCACCTGTTTTGGCCCTGTCGTGTGTCGCCCTTTTCGGACGCTGTTTTGATGTCGGTAGATTTAGCGCACGTAGCACATTTTAATAATGTCGACAATTGTCATATTTGTGCAACCGAAAAGGCTGTCTCTGCAACGGATCTGGCCGCAGTACGCGATCTGTCGCTTTGCCCGCAATTGCAGCAATTACTTTTGGCCAGCATTGCCAGACAGGGTCCGCAATTAAAAACTATGGACCTGTAATCGCATTCGTTTGATACTAGCCAGCCTGCACTGAACATTAAGGTAAAAGCCTTGGGCGAAACTATGGCAACCCGCTGGGTTGATGTCAAGGAAAAATAGTATATAACGTCTTTTGGTAGCCTTATTTGAAAAGCTTGTAATCGTTTTTTAATTTCGACATATGGTGTTTTATATATTTTTATTTATTATGACTACTAATAAACTAATATGTCAGTTTTAAAAAGTATATTTTTATCTAAGATTTTTCCCCAAATTTTGTTGTTAGATTTATGCATCACTGATTCCATTGTATGGTTGATAAACCTTCCCCATTCAAAATCTAGCCACTCCCAGGACATTCATCCTATACTCTACTCCCAGACGAATTCATTTTTATTGACAATTTTTCATTCACTTCCCCGCTCCCCGCGGGCCTACAGCATGTCATATCAATTGTCAATTTTAATTGCTAACAGTTGTCATAACTCGGTTGTTAATTTTACAACTGTTTGGATCCACAGACCTGTCACTTGATAGCGCCCACGACACATTTTGTGTTTCTTGTTTCTGCTTTTTGTCTGTTGGCTTGGCTTTTTTATGGTTATATAACAGAAAGCTACGGAATCGCCCAGGCTGTGGCCATATTCGATGAGAAGCCAGGCTGCTTAATATGCAACCAGCGGCCATATTGAATCATCTGAGAGGCTGGCCGCCCGGGGTTTGTGTCATTAATGAGTTTGCAGCAGAGCAAGGAAAAAAACTAGAAAAATATATTTAAATTTTAATATTATAGCAAGTAGTTACAAAAGCAGTTATCAAGAAAAATACAGAATTAATTTTAAAACACTCGATCATTCGTAGTACCTAAAATATTTGCAAATATTATTTGATCTATTCCTTTGTATGAAATATTTTTTTGCAGTGCTTACTCAAACTTGTATCTGGGGAAATGACCATGCTGATAAGGCTGAGTCACAGTCACGTAGATATGATTTGAAAGAAATCATACATTAAATCGCTGGACTGGACGACGGCACGTTTAATTGTGGCCGATAAGGTGTTCCGCGGAATCCTCCGCCTGGGATCCCCACGCCCTATAGACATTACCATTACCATTAACATTACCATCCCCCCTCCCCTTGCCCTTCCAGGTCCAAGTCTCATTCCCAGTCGCAATTAGTCAAACGAATTTGTAGCGCCCAGCTGAGGAATTAATCAGAAGTCGTCGCCGTTCGCTGCTCGCATTTAAAATGCAAAATGCGTGCGCTAAATTACGGCGAACTGTGAGCCACAAAAGCCTAGGCATTTTTCAGCATGTAAAGAGCCGGCTCTGCTCTGCTCGGCTCGGCTCCTTTGTGGCCAAAGAAGTTGACTCCAACCCCATCCCAAGTCCAAGTCCAAGTGTCGTTCCCTGGCAGATGATGATGACTCGTTTTGGCGTCGTGCTCGCTGGCGCGTCCACATTTGAATACTAATTGCATTTGGCCCGGCTCGTAGTCCGCCAATCTCTTTTTCCCGGGCTTGCGGTAAATATGATAAACAACAAAGCGCGTCATTTTGACATTTGCCTGTTTTATGCGCCCACGTTGCCATTGCCACCATACCGCCTTGGAGTCTGCGATCCTAAACTCCCACGATTCAGGCCAGCTCCCTGCTCCCAGCTACTTCCTCGTCATCTTCTCCAGCTCAGGCTCAAAGCCGAGCTCCTCGGTAATCGCAAATAGATATGCGGCTCAGATAATGATCGTCTTGTCGGTTGGCTTGCTTTGAACTTAAATGGGTTTTGTCTCCGTGCTGCTGCTTCTGCCTCTTTTGCTTTTGCCAGTCTGCGGTTTTGGCCTGGCAAATTTGCCATGTGTTGGCCAAAAGGTTGGCTGGCTGGCTGGCTGCTTGTGCATTTTTGAGTGGCAGCTTTACCTTTACAACGCTGCTCAAGTGTCGCCTTTTTGTATGGCGGAATATGGCCATCTATAGCCCTGTTTGGGATGACAACCCTTTTGTTGATCACTAAAATGAGCCATTTAAAGTTCATTTTAATGGTCCTTCTTGACTGAGCCGCTTCATAATTTTCAATATTTAATTATGGCTTTTGTAGATTTGTGTAAAATAAAAAAGAAACTATTGCAACCTTTAAGTTAAAAAAATAAATAAGCTCATTTAGGTAAGGGATGTAGAACTATTCCATTAATTAATAAAAACCACATCAAATAAAACTAACTGATGCCGCAGGTAAAAACAAAACATTCATATTTTTCAAATAAATAAAAATACAATAAAAATCACGTATTTAATATTATTATTATGTGTTTATAATTAAATACCACTAACACCAAACGGTATAATAATAAATTAGTAATACCAATTAGCAGAACAATAACAAAGCAAACCAAAAAAACTAAATGTAGGTACTTTAAATCTGTTTCTTTTTAATAGTAATAGTTCCTTAAGAACTCAATACATACATTTAAAAGGTGGCTCTAGCGGTAAAAAAAAAGAGAAAAAATCCGGCAACACTTTTGTTTAATAAGTTCAAGTTTCGTTCGTTACATACGTTCTATTTGAAAAGAGATTTTAGATTTTATTTTGTGACTAAGGCAATTAACTTTTATGGCATGCCCTCAGCTCCGCTTGTCGCCTGTTGCTCCTTAATGGCTACCAGAATACCTACAAATTGCTCGCAGTCGCTGGGAAGCGTTGTAGGAGGAGCACTTGGAGGGGATTCTCGAACAGGGCGCAATGAATAATTATCGAGTGACTATAGTGGAGCCGCTTTGGCCATTCATTTGGCCCCGGCTCACAACATCAGCGGGCGGCTTTGGGGAGCTGCAAAAATGCCCGGTAATTATCACTAAGACGCGCCGCCGCTGATTAAGTATGCGACACCGCCAGTCGGTTCGGGGATCGGGAACCATTCTGCTAGGAGCTCCTCTCGAATTCTGACAGTTTTCGTACGGCTGACATGACAAGCTGCCAGCACCGATGACGCTAAAAACTTGGCCCATTCTGGGCTTCAGTTTCAGTCGTAGTCCGAGCCTGAATCAGCAACTGCAATTGCAGCTCTGCGCTGGAATCACAGAGTGGCGATGGAACTTCGAAGGATGGTGAGTCGCTTCATGTTACCAAGTGCCGACAACTGACGGCTAGGTGCTCTAAAAACTATTTCGATAGAAAAATTTAAAGTTCTACGAATTTATTAAGAAATCGTGTACAAAAATTAGTCTAGTAAACATGTGAATTTATAAGGTAAATATCATTATTATTAACATTTATTATAAAAACTAAATATTTTATTATTTTAGTTACTATTATATATTTTCTTAAATCTGTATGGTATATTGTATAATAATTCCTACTTAGTATTTAATATAATAAGCATAGTTTGACCTAATTTCTCTGCGTGTGAAAGGGAATGAGAATGAGGAGCGAGGATCCGAGCCGAGAGCCGCATACAAATGAGGCGTACCCAATGTTGACAATGAATATTAACCTTGAGTGCTGCTTCAGCCGGTTTTTGCCTGGCCAAGGTCATCACATCCCATGCCAGCTCGATTCCGATTCCAGAGGATGTGGAGATGGTGTGATGAGATGGTTGCCGATAATTGCCGCGGGCATCGACTGTAGTCGACCTAATGGAATCGCTGTGAATGTCATTCGGCCTGATGTGTGTAATCGATTCTGCAGCTGACTTGTTTTATTAAATGAAACGCTAAAGTGCCATTAATTCTTTTTTTAAATTACCTACGTTACTAGGAAATGCTTTGTTTTTTTGGATTTCTTATAAACTATAAATGATATAAAATAATTAAGGTTGTGTTCCAGATTTTACAACGACAGATGAGGGATATTCCGGAGTAAGAGCCTCGCTTACGGCTACAGATGACTTAAGAGATTCAATTCAACTACTTTCCCACATCCTCCGCGAATTCTACCATAAAATTTCCAGTGCTCTTAGGTGCTATCGATTGGGTTCACATGCGAAGTTTGCATTCCCAGTCACTTGGCTGGTTTGCCAGTTAGCTATTTGGCTGCTTTTGCACCTCGACATTAAGCCAGTTGGATTCAGACTGCTAACCCAGTTTTAATAATCACGAAGTGGAAGTTACTCCGCGGTAATTACCTTTTGCATTCGCTAGATTTTTCAATTCTTTTTTTACTATTTCTTTCTTACCTCTCGTTTGCGGCACGAACGGCAGTTTGGAGGTGACTGACATATCGCATCGTATAAATCGCAGCTAAAGACGAAATTTAATAATTTTAGAGCCCGGCATTAGCGGCTTGGCTGGGCCCGAAAATTATGAATTCTCGCCAGAGCCGCCGATTCGCTGCACTGCGAGAAAAGCCCTATGCCGCCGGCTTCTTCTTGCGTCCGAAATTCTCGCCGTCTTCCAGGGTCTCCGGCAGCGGAGCTCCTCGAGTCTCCGGAATAAACAGAGTGCCGACGATGGCCAGAATGGAGAAGGCCCCGAAGATGAGGGGCGCTATCCACAGGCCAAATTCATCCAGATCGACGATCAGTGGCGCCACAATGGATCCCACCCGGCCGACCATCGAGCACAGTCCCACTCCGCTGGATCGCACCACCGTGGGAAAGAGCTCTCCGCCGTACAGATAGACATTCGGGAAGGTGACCGAGGCTCCGAACAGGCCGATGGTGGCGCAGGCCACCCTGACCATCTCGCCCTGGGTGGAAAGGCAGGCTAAGAGGATCAAACCCAAGGCAGCGCATCCGTTGGACAGCAGCAGGGTCAACTTGCGACCCAGGTACTTGGTGAGGATCACACAGAGACAGGTGCCCGGAACTCCGACGGCGGCGGCAATCAAGTTGCTGATGAAGATGTTGCCGCCCAGCTTGGAGACATACTGGGCGGTGCCGTAGTAGACCATGCAGACCACCAGCCAGTTGTTGGCCATGCAGATAGTCTTTATCCGCATGAACGGGGTGCGGAAGAGATCCAGCATGGTTCCCCTTTTGACCGGCTGACGGGCTGCCAGTGCCGCGTGGGCCGCCTCGATTTCCGGCCGTATTGTCTCCGTCGGCGCCCTGTTGCACTTGGCGATCTTCTCCAGGATCTTGACGGACTTGTCCACCCGGCCGGTGGTGAAGAGCCAGCGCGGGGATTCCGGCACCAGCCAGATGTAGATTACGAACACGGCCGAGAAGATGGTAATGCTGAACTGGTACCATCGCCACTCGCGAATAAAGTAGGCGAACACCGCCAAGGAGGCGTGGCCGATGTTGAAGGGCAATTGGTAGAGAATGGCCACCAATTCGCGCTTCTTGGGCCCCACGATCTCCATGAGCAGGACGAAGCTGCAAAGGGATCGAATATACGGGCTTATTATTTTGAGATCTGAATCTTTGGGGAAAAGTCTTTAAACCCACCTGGTGGTCATCGTACCCGCCGTGGCCACAGCCACCAGAAACCGGAAGAGGCAGTAGAACCAGAAGGCGGGCGAAACGCAGACGATCAGTCCAGTGATCAGCTGCATGAAGCAGCTAGTCAGGAAAGCAGGACGGCGACCAAATCTATAATAAACAAATAAATAAATACAAAAAAATAATAAAAATAAATAAATAAATTTAAAAATAATAAATAAATACATTTAAATATTACAAAACAATTTTTTTCTTATCTTTTAAATTTTTTGTTGGTTTTAAAGTAAGGGCTAGTACTCAACCCAACAAAAAGTCGTCCAAAACAAAAACTTCATATGAAACAAAATTTTTTGACGTTGTTTTTCATATGAAGTTTTTTGTTTTGGACGACTTTTTGTTGGGTTGAGTACTAAGCCTAAAGCGGAAATATGAAAAAGTTGTATATATTTTATACTGAATCCACTTCGTTTTACGTCAAAATAAAGAAAAGGGAATTCGAAACTTTCAAGTTTCCGGTTAAAATAATATACTTACCGATCGGCCAACATGCCGAAAACCAAGCTGCCGATTAGAACGCCCAGCATTATGAGGGATTGGGACAAGCTGGCCAGCTGCTTCTTGTTGCAGGTGAGATCCCATTCGGTTATAATCGTGGACTTGAAGACGCTGGTATCAAACTCGGTCTCCGAGCACTCGTCACTACAGGGATCTGTGACGTTGGCCGTGGTGCAGGATAAGGGCGTGGGGGCGGCTAGGAAAATGTGACCCAGTGTGTGCCATCCCGTACCGAATTTGCACAGCAGGATGAGGAAGAAGTAGAACAGCTGATAACGCCGAAAGTCGCCGATCTGCGAGATAATCGGATCGGCCGTCTTTGTCACCGGTTTCAGCGGCTTCGACGCCCTTGCTTCCTTCGGTCTGTCGGCCATTGCGCTAAAAACAAAAGAATTTCGATTGTCAAGATTTTGAAATTTTTACATTTGAATTTTGAGAAAATAATCAAAGTGCTTTTCTTCAAGTGTAGAGGCCTACCGAGCCGACTGGTTTCTCGGTGGGTGGACTTTCTCAAATATTTGCCGGCTCTAGCGCAAATTGGACATATCGAGCGGTGCGGCTCAGTGCAGACTGGCGTGAAATTATGGAACCCGGGCAGATAGCGATTTCATTTGCAAGCAACTGGCCACCGCCACAGAAAAGAACCGGTTTTCGCCAAGAGAGAGCTTCAGAGATTCAGTCTGGGGCAGCGTGACAAGTCGCAGCTCGGAGATATAGAAGCCGGGAAGTCGGGGGTATTAGCACTTGGCCGCGGATCCACCGCCAAAATGGCATTTGGAAATAGGAGTACGGCCTCTGCAGTTTGTCAGCCCAAAATGCCAACAGAGACTGGGGCTAAACTTTTACTCTTTAAGTAGGTAAATGAAGTCGGCTGCCTGGTTAATTGGAGGAAGGTGCGCCCGGGGACCCGGCCCGCTGATGCTGGGATCTAGCTGGCAGATTAAGCCATTGTCTGCCCGCAGATAACCGCAAGTCCCAGTTACCCATTAAGATGGCTTAATTAAGGAAGCACTGGGCCCAGTGAAAGTTAAGCCGGAGAGCGGGCGGCGAGCCGAAGAAAGAGAGTCGACGGCCCGAGATTTCTGGCCCGAGATTCCGCGACGAGTTCCCACGGCAACGACAACCTGTCTGGCTGTCTGGCGGAGGCTTTTTGCGCAATCGTCAGCGGCTGGCAAAATGTCACAACAATTGCAAATAAATTATATATGCAAATTGGATGGCCAATCAATGGAATGGCCATTGGGGAAACGCAGCGTTTTAATACGATCGGCACATGATAAATCTAGCCATACACAAAGCACCCACTTGGAGTACAAGAAACACACATTTTTATAGTAATGCCTTTGTTCTTCGGTCTCTTGATCGCAAAACACATTCTTTGAATGCAAAGCAGTTAAATCTTTGTCAGCAGCCGTTCACTTTAGCAACACTCCTTTAAAAGTTATGATTTTATGATCATACTGATTTTTTTATCTTTTGAGCAGCGTAACTCAAGAAGCACTTACCCAAGTGTTTTATATCTTTCACTACTATTTCTGTCGTGCCTCAAGTTCTATTAATAATTAATAATACAAATTTTCCGGGGGCCTGTCGGGGGCCAAAATTATATAACAGAAGTAGTCAATTGATAAAGCTGGATTCGTAATCTCGCACTTTTTGAACCACGTCTGGAAGGCTTCAGCGCTCCACAATCAATGGCGAAAGCATCTCGTCTCGTTTGTGGAAAAACTGAGATGGCAATAAAGTCGTGTGTACTTTAATCCCATATGATAAGAGACGTTCGACAAGCGTCGCAAACCCGACAAACAATAAAAAATTTCCTGAACTTGTGTCCAAGGGAGATAACAAACGTCTATATATGTTGTTTACTATTAGCTCACCTGAAGTAAGCCTTCCTATATAAGCATTCATATATAATCGTTTGAGCAAACATCAGCTTCTGTATTCCAAAAAAGACCACTGATTTTTTTCTTTATGTTAATTAATGGAGACGTCTTCAAACATAATCACGCAGTGTTCATCAGATGAGCACGCGTTTGCCAAACTTGATATTATATGACATAATATTCGAAAATAAAACAAGAATTAAATGATTCGGGGTGTTGATTTATTTGGCGAGACGATAATTGTGTTAAATTTTTTTAGCTCCTTACCAATTCCTATAAATAACGTTTTTTTCGTTTTGAGCACAGCAACTAATTAATATGTGAAGATAATAAATTATCTACAAAAAGAGCATTCAACGTACGTAAAAAAAATATTTGTTTATATAAATATTAAGAGATAAGAAATTTAGCAATATATTTATCCAATGAGGACAAAAACAAATGAATATCTTGTTAAAGCAACGAAAGTTTGAGAATGAGAAGAATCAATGCATGTGTAAGCTGCCATGCAGCCACAAAACTAAATCCAATTAAAGTACTCTGTTTAATATTTACATTTGGTGGCCTGACAAGTGGTCTAAGCCGATTTCGGTGTCCCAAATGGGCCGCCAGCCGGACTGTTTAGGCCAGATATTCGCAGTCCCAATGCGGGGGAGCGGGTATTTATGACCCGGCAACGCTCCAATTAGCACACAAAAGGATTACAGGGGAAATGCCAAAATTCTGGTGCTGCACAGAGGAGCATTCGGCACTTGGCAAGGCCAACAAATGTTCTGGGCCGGCTTTGAAGCGCTTTGCGGTTTTTCCTCCATAATTGCAGGCCAGGCCAGGACCGAGCTGAACTGAACTGAACTGAAGTGGACAGTGGTCGAGTGGACCATCGGACCATTGGACTAGTGGCCCTGGCCGCCGGATTGCGAGGAATCCACTTGTGAGCCAGCGAGCAAATCAAGCAGCAGGCATTTAATTTCAAACTGCCCCCCATCCACTCACCAGGGCGCAATCAAAATATTTTATAGGTTGGCCATAAAGAAATTCATAAAGCGAAAAGCAGCAGCAACTGCAACTCTGCCAATTCATACGAAAATTGCTAACTCAGCGCTCACATATATCATTTTTATGCGCGGCCACGCCCCTTTCAGCTCGTAGTAAATTGACAAATGCAGCGGGCCAAGTCTGTGAGATGTCTTTGCCACTATTTAAGGTCTTTCTCGAGGAGATCGAGGCGGAGGAGGAGGCGGAGGAGGATGCTGCGCGCTGGAAGCATCGAAATGAAAAAGCGCACCGAAAACTATGAGCAACGCTTAGCGAAATAAAAGTGCTTGTAATATGTAGTTAAAATCCAAGTAAGGCGATTGGTTAAGCAGAGCAAAGTCGACTGGGAGATGCCCTATAGTTTAGTACACTTTTTCTCAAAATATGTCTAAAGAATTTCCATAATCATTTCGATTTACAAGATAGAGAAATTTCACAGTAAAAACTTACCTGTGCTAAAACTCGCTCTCCTTCTGGATCAGCACTTCACACCTGCCAAGTGTTCGTTTTCAACTGCGAAAAATCAATAAACTGACCTTACTTTATACGTGGAAAAATGGCTAAACCACCCTTGAAGCAAAAACACACCTTAACCTACCTGTTTGCTTATCGAGCATCTGTCTGTCTGTCTCGTTGCAATTAGCTACCTGTTCGGGAAAAGATAGACATATTACTTTAAATAGTTTGAATGTGAGTAGATAATTTGTGGCTTCTGACAACACGCTATATTTAATAGAGTATATTAATGCTAAATTAAATACAGAAGTTCTATTGTGTAAGTCCTTTATATGGAGTTTCTATACAAATCATTAGCGGGTTGAACTCGATAACCACTATAAATCTGTGGACGGCACGTAGTGACGAATCGCACCAGGAGTGTGAGATTTTACCATAAAATCCCGAATATTTCATTACACTGCAAAAAATATGTTAATAGTGCTCAGGAGAAATAATTTTACCAGCAAAATATCAAATTATTTCAGTATTTTGATATGCACCACATTGTATTGCAGGGTATGCAATGCTAGAAGAAGCAGCTAGAAACAAAGAGCCGCATCAACGCTTTTGGCTCTGGTTGCCTTGGCTTTCTATCCCCCTCCTCTGCAGTCGCCCTATTCCTCTCTAAATCCTCTTTGATTAAGTGCTCAGTCTTTTATGTGGAGATTTTTTAATCGTTACCTCGTCCTCCCGGCGAAAAGAGGGGGCTACGCAGGGAGGAGGATGACCAGAACAGAGGTCTGTAGTCTGAAGTCTGAAGTCCGAAGGGCGTGCATGTGACCATGCCCCGTAGATTAATCGCTAATCTGTCCCTAGAGGGCGTACTGACATTTTTTAAAACTGCGCACAGCTCAGCAGAGCCAAAGAAGCTGCCTCATGGCTGTCCACTTCATCCCGGGCCATTTGGAGATGTCTTTGGTTTTTATTGCCGGACGGCACTTGGCCACTTCCATCATTCCCATTCCCGTGTCTGTCCCTTCGCATTCGGCCTGGGATTCGCACCTCCTTTTCAGTACCTCTTGTTTTTGTCCTCCCTTTTTGGCTTTATAAATAAATTAATAAATTTAAGCCAGCATTAATTATTATGCTGCTCGGCCAGGCGCGCAGATTAATGTTTTAATTTCGCTAGCCTAGGCTTCGATTAATTTATGCGCGCCCTGTTTGCAATTTGTGGCCCGTTTTTTGAGTAATTTCGCCTGGCCGAGGGCGATAAAGTGCATTAACATGGAATGCGGCTGCCGCTGCAGGCAGCTAAAATTGTTAATTTCGAAGCATAATAAAACGCGGCAATATGTTGCAGTTAAGCCGGGCCCCTTTCAATTTGCACTAGACGGACGTCCTAATGTGTGTCGCATAAATCAGCGGTCGGTTCATGCTCATCCACTGCGGTTGCCCATTTCGGTGGTTTTGGGCCAAGCAGCCAGGATAAATCCCAGAAGCCTGTGGAAATGATGATGAGCGGCCTGCCAACACTTCCCAGATTGATGAGTCAGCTGCTCCGAGCCAAGCCAAGACCTCTGCTCCATTCCTTCTTGCATTTTCGTTTGACCAATCGAAATTATCCTTTTTATCTCCCCCTAAGTTGCTCATTTAAGTCATTTATATGAAAATCACTTCAAGGAAGATCGTTAAAGGTACGAATTTTGGTTCACCTTTAAAGCTCGTTAATTTATAGAAATTTTGTTAGTGCCCAGATTTAAAGTTGGTTGGAAACTGAATTTAGGAGATTTATCATAATTTACTTGGGCCATTAATTAATGATTTATGAATTGCATAGCAACAGGATTTTGTATCTTTATTTTTATAAACTATCTTAAAAATAAAAATAATTTATAAAATTTTATTAAAATTGTTCAACCTTTTGAAATGAGAACAATATTTCAATACTGATTCCTGAAATGCTTAATGAATTTTCTATTTTATTGTATTTATTTTATTTTATTAAAAAATGTGGATTAACAAATGAAATCTCTAGATCCTTTAATCCATATTTAAATATGATTTTTTGTCATAGGCATCGACTTTAGATTTTTAAATCTAATGTTGAATGTGATTTTTCCATAGGCATAGACTTAAAGGTTTCTAATCAATTTGTTGGCCCGCCTTATGTTGCCTGATTTACGCGTGACGGACACGCAAATCAAGGCGTTTAATTTCCGCCGCCGACAGCCGTTCTCACCGCAGCCTGTCAGTCAGTTGGGCAGCTGTCATAATACCGCCGTGGAGCCCACGATTCATAACCCTCGACCTACGACCCTTGATTACCGATTCTCGGGGCTGTGGCAACGGCTACGACTCGGATGGCAGTAGACCAGAAGGTAAATAAACCCCTTGTCAGGGCCGCAGCTTTATGCATAATTAGCTTTTGCCGAGCGAAACTTTGGATCCGTGCAAATGTTGCAAACTTTTAATTTATGCCTGGGGGGAGCAACCCATGCCTGGCATCGGTTATAGTTTGCCGTTCAGTTTGCTCTACATACTGCATAAGCAAACATATTTTAATTTGAGGTTCTGTTTACATGCTGCTCTGTGCCACGCTTCAAGTCACACAACACGGCAGCAGGAACTGCAACTACGGCAATAGAAACAATAATAAGAACAGGACCTAGGACAACGGAAATAACAGCATCAGCAGGTCTACCCTACACTCGGCTACAAAAATTTGGCAAACTAAATACAGTTTTAAGTTCGAAAGTTACAAACTAATTTATATATAAATTATAAATTATTATAAATTATAAATTCATTTACCAAGTATTCTGACTTACATACTACTAGAAAAAGTTATGTTTCTAAAACAATAAAAACAAAAAAAGTAAAAGAAATTCTAGCACATGATAAATATTGGCTTAATGTAAACCAGATAATTAAAAGAAAATGAAAATGTATAGTATTTCTTAAATTCTCTTATACGATCTAAAAAATTCCTATTATATTGAGACTTAGTTAGGTGTTAATCCGAAATGAGACAAAATTATACAAACTATAGTTTTCGATTTATTAATTAGCAAGGTAGATATAGCTAATTAAAACTAGATTTCTTTACGAAGAGTATAAAAATTGCAAACGTATTGTTTGATGATTAGTGTAACATCTATGTGCGCTTGAACGGACCGGCCCAGCCGTATACGCATACGCATTCAGTGCATTATCGGCAGTGCCATATCAGACACAAACATAAATGCAAACAATAATATTTGCTTAAAATTGGCTCCGCCCTGGCACAAGGGGGTACTAACCGATATCGGGGGCGGACT